ATATATATATATATTGTGTGTGTGTGTGTGTGTGTGTGTTGTATTTCGTATGTCAATACATCATTTCAGGAAGGCACCATTTCGATTACAAAGACACATATATATGCAGATACCACTGCCAGTGTATTCACTGGTATGTCTTACGCCATAGGCACACATCGAGTATTTGTCATCCCGTAGGTCTCCTACACACCCGCCTCGGTGTGGCATGTGATTGTGTGCTAAAGATATAATCTCAACCAAAAGTACCGAACATTACACAGTTTTCCACAGTCCCGCCACTTTGTAGCGCCGTATGGGACCATCGCTATTTAGGTCAAACCTCGCAATCGTCTCTATTCGAGAGTATGTGCTATAAATAGATATCTTTTAAGGGTACCGAACTTTGTACAATCACGGCGGACCTGCCTGAGCGCAGTGTAGTATGAGATCATCGGTTAGGTCTGCCACCCTCACAACTGCCCCATGCAAGTCCTAGGTGCTATAAATAGACTACCCTCAAAAAGTACCGAACATTGCACATCCACAACTGTCACACAGGCCTGCCTCAGGGCATCGTAGTGGAGGAACATCGCCACTTGTATCGCCCTCCCCCTCTCCCAATCAAGTCGCCAGGCCCAAATTAAAGGGCAAAGGTGCACCCCCGCCCCCGCCCAAGGGCAGCCACAAGCAGACGACCAGTGTGGGATCTGATGCGGATATACATGCGGCAGGTAGGTCAAGTACAGGCGTATGTGTGTGTGGACATATACGTCTATGTAAGTATGTGTATAGGTGCAACCGAGGATATTATATAGCTTCGAGGGTGGCTTGTAAAGCCCAAATAAAAGGACAAAGATGCACCCCCGTCCCCACCCAGGGACAGCCACTGGCAGGCGGGCAGCATGCGCCAAATAGACTGCTAATAGGCATACTCAGAGGAGGGTGAAGCGTTGACGAGGTCTTGTACACGTCTACGTATTCATATAGTTTCTCTTTATTTTAACATATGCGCATTCATATACATCCTCTTGTAAACGTATGCTTCATATGTATCCTAAGTGCCCTATGACAGCTATTGACGATCCATGCAATAGTATATGTGCCTCACTCCAATTATACCCGCATAAACCCTACACCCTATACCCTACCTTGTTTACTAAGCACTCGGCCACGCCCAACAACTACGAGGGCCAACGTTATACTGAGTTGTGTATCTGTTTTAGGGTTTGGGCTGTCAGAGGAATACTATACCTGCTTATGGTAATATCAGTAGACTTGGATTAAATACATACCCACCTGTTAATCTATTAATAGTTTAGCTCTGGATATATACCCCCCCCAATGTATATCGAATACTTTCATTTCAAGTGTATGTGCCACTTTCTATCGGTCTGTGAATAGGTTGAGCTCTGAATGTATACCTATCCGTCATTCTATTATTAGTGACACCAACTGGACGCAAACCGCCCCCGCCTGTGCATCGCAAACAAAACAGCAACGTATCCATTACATCGGATGACCGTCCCAACATTCCTCAGAAACCAGCAATGCCAAAGCGACCAATCACGCCCAAAACAAGCAAAGGTGAGTGGGTGATATGTATCGATGTACATACCACTCCCCAAGCAAGCGCAGTTGAGTGCGTGATATACTTATATATGTATTTATATATATATATATATATATATATATATATATGTGTGTGTGTGTGTTCTCTGTCTGTGTCGTGTATTTCTATGCTA